TTTTTTTTTTTGGCCAGAGTGCCTTGGCTTTCTATACCTGAAATACTCTCATGGGCTTTTCAGCCAGATCTCCATGCCTTAAGGGCTGATTCTGAGGCCAGAGTGCTGTTTAGGACAGCTGCCATTCTATGGGTCTGCTGTGTATCTTGCTTCCCATGTTGGATCATTCTCTCCCTTTTTGATTCTATCAGCTAGTATTTTCAGACACTAGTCTTGTTTATGTGATCCCTTTGTCTCTTAGTCCTATCATTATGATCAACTGTGAACAGAAATTGATCACTGGGACTAGTGAGATGGCATTGGTACATGCCACCTTGATGGGATTGAATTGGAATCCCCTGGTATCTTTCTAATTCTACCGTTTGAGGTAAGTCAGATTGGTAAGTCAGATTGGTAAGATCAGGTAAGTCAGATTGAGCACATCCCGAATTGCACATCTCTTCCCTCTCTTATTCCCACTCTTATATTTAACAGCGATCACTTTTCAGTTAAGTTTCAACACTTGAGAATAACTGTGTATTGATTACAGTATTCAACCAAAAGTATTAAGTAGAACAAACAAAAAAATACTAAGAGGGATAACGTATTAAGTTGTTCATCAACAGTCACGGCAAGGGCTGATCAAGTCAACATTTCTCATAGTGTTCATTTCACTTTAACAGGTCTCTGTTTCTCCTTCTCTCTGTCTTGCTGTCTTTCAAATAATAAAATAAATCTAAGAAAATTAAAAATAATAATAAGATATTCTGTTGCACAGTATGGTGACTATAGCCACATGATTTTATTTAAAATATCTAGTTTGCAACAAAAATTATTTTAAAAGTAAATAAGTAATTATAACCTACATGCAGGAAAAGAAAGGGTAATCAATAGACACTGCTTCTGAAGAAGCAGACAATAGATTTAACTATACAAGGACTTTAATTCAGCTCTTTTATATTGCTCAGAGACTTAGAGGAAATGATATGTCAGGGCTAAAGCAAAGTATGAGAACAGTATTTCATTCAACAAAAGGTATCAATTAGCAGACAGAAATTATGAAAAGGAACTAAACAGAAAATTTAGAGTTGAAAAGGATAATAGCTGAAACAAAAAAAATCTCATACAACAAAAAAAAATTGTCAATAGGTTTGAGTACTAAAAGGATGAATAACTAGATAAAGCAGTCAGTGAGATTATGCAGCCTGAGAACAGATTGGGAAAAAAAGGTAAAAAAAATGAACTGTGAGACAACATAATGAGCACATCAGACAGGCAGTGAGAAAAGGTCTGGCAGTGGGCAAATAATGGTTAAGAATTGATCACACTGATAGGTCTAAGAGTCAAAGGAATCACACAAACATGACTAGTGTCTGCTAATACTAACTGATAGAATTAAAAAGGGAGAGAACGATCCAACATGGGAAGTGGATACACAGCAGACTCATAGAATGGCAGATGTCCTAAACAGCACTCTGGCCTCAGAATCAGTCCTTAAGGCATTCGATATGGCTGAAGAGCCAACGAGAATATTTTAAGCATGGAAAATCAAGACACTGGCAAAAAAACAAAAACAAAAACAAAAACAAAAAACAAAACAAAACAAAAAACCCAAAACCCTAAATGAAAGATCTCTGCAAGTGAGATCCCAGTAGAAAGAACGGGGCCATCAAAGAAGGAGGTACCTTTTTCTGAAGGGAGGAGAGTACTTCCACTTTCACTGTGACCTTGTCTGAATAAGATCAAAGTTGGCGAAGTCAAAAAGCTTCCATAGCCTTGGCAATTCATGACTAGAGCCTAGGGAGATTACTGACACCATAAACAAGAGTGTCAAATTGTTAAGTCAACAACAGGACTCACTGTGTACTTACTCCTTATGTGGGATCTCTGTCCTTAATGTGTTGTCCAATGTGAATTAATGCTATAACTAGTACTGAAACAGCATTTTACACTTTATGTTCTGTGTGGGTGCAAACTGATGAAATATTTACTTAATATATACTAAATTGATCTTCTGTATATAAAGATAATTGAAAATGAATCTTGATGTGAATGGAATGGGATTGGGAGCAGGAGATGGAAGGGGTGTTAGTGGGAGGGAAGTTATGGGGAGGGGGGAAAGCCATTGCAATCCATAAACTGTACTTTGGAAATTTATATCTACTAAATAAAAATTAAAAAAAATCTTTATATTAAAAAAAATAAGTTCCTAAATTTGATGAACATGATTATATACTCACAAAGCTCAATAAATCTCTAGTGGGATAATCTTGGAGTTAAGATAACTACAACTAGGCACATGATAAAGTGTTAAAAAGTCAAAGGCAAACAGATAATCTTAAAAACATCAAGAGAGAAATGACGTCATATTTTAAAAAAATGGTTTCTAATGAAAAAGCATAGAAAGTAGAAGGCAGTGCGATGACATATTCAAAGTGCTGAAAGAAAAGAATTATTAGCCCATAATACTCTATATTCAGCAAGAACAGAGAAATTAATACCTTCTCAGATGAAGAAAAATACAGACAATCACAAGAAAACTGTCCTACAAGAACTAATGAAATGGTTCAGCAAATCTAAAGAAAGGAGTTTATTGGCTTCTTGGAGATACAACACAATGGAATGTTAGTTAAAGTATATAGTTTCTTTTTAAGGAAATAAAAATGTTCTAGATTTGACTCTGATGATGATTGCCCATATTTGTGAATAAACTAAAAAACATCATTGAACTTTATACTTTAAATGGGTGAACTGAAACACAACAAGGCTGTAGAAAAAAAGTGAGAGGATGAAATCAGTCAAGTAAAGAAGACAAAGGGCCAAGGATGAAATCAGGATAATTCAAGTGAAATGATAAAAGAAGATAAGGGCTTATAGTGTCACTCTCAGAGAACTTTCCAGAAGGGCAGAGTGAGAAGTACAGGCTAGTGTTATAGTAAAGTCAAGTAAAGACAGGACAAGACAACATTCACTCGATTTGATTGTAATCTAGTTTGGGTCACTGGAGATTCCAGGCGAGTGTGAAAAGACACCAAGGCATCAGAGATATTTGAAGTTGAATGAAATTTGTGGGAACATTTCAAAAAGCCGGAATTATAGATCATCTGCTGAACAGTCTGAGTATCACGGGTACTCAAAATGTTTATGGAGAGTAATTTTCAGGACAGTCAGTTGATTCGTAGGAAACAAGTCTAATTTAATTTCAGTGTTTCAGTTCTTGAAAATCAGTACTGAGGAAGTTTGCATTTAACATTACATTTTCTATTTCTATGAAGAACAAGTAGATGTAACATTCTGTTATTTCAGCAAGTTAATTTAAACAACCACTTGAAGAACAACAAATACATTTGTTTGTGTTCATGATTATATCTCATGAGGAAGAGGTTTGCTTTATCTTTCTCATCAATGTAAGCCTTTTAACTTTTTCCCATATAATTTCCAGTCTGTCATTCTGCTAAGACTATCAAAAATGTCAGAAATAATTTGGATTTTGATTTGGTAAAATTTGTAATGCAGATGTAAAACCCTGCATCTACTTGCATGCCACCCTTGCTCTTCTAGTCACCTGTGTGTTTCTGTAAGAGTATCTTCTATGTATGTGTCTGGTCCATTTCTATTCTACTTGTCCACGTAAATATACTGACATAGAAACTCTTATGAAATTTACTGTAAAACACACTGTTTATTAAAAGGTGAACTCACCTGGTATGTGCTCATTTTTTTCTCCCCTGGAAGAATATACATAAGTGTGAAGATTCAGCTGGAGGAAGGAAAGAGAAAAGGGATCATGAGAGAATTGGTCCTTATAATCCTATATTTACCAGCCTAAAACTCTCATCACTTCAGATACAAAAACAACTTTCAAAGGAGGTCATGTCCTTTGACTCTTGAAAAGGGACAGGAAGGACCATGCAGTAGGAATAGTGCCTGAACATGTGCATCTCTGATAAGACTGTTTGGGGTTAAGCTTTCATTTACACTAAGTATATTGGTGTTTTTGGTGATACACTAACAGTTCGTTCTCTTCTGACAAACACATAAAAACAAAATAGAGAACTGGCTGAACAAGTTTAGGTACACAAGAGATGATCCTTTGACTTCAATGAAACTAATAGAAAATTATGCAAGCTGGCTTGTTAATCAAGGTCTTAATCATTTTTACACAGCGAGTCAGGACTTCTACAGAAAGCTCTGAAATACAGATGGGATGTTTTATGTAAGGGATATATTTTTTAACTTTTTGTTCTAAACTGGTTGTCACTTCTAATAAAAGACCTTTGGAGGTGACTTGCACTGTGCTTAGCCCCTGGTTCTGCCCTGGACGACACTACAAAAATCATTCATTTTAGGCCCAGTATTGGTTTCCAGGATAGAAAGTTCTTTACTATTATTTTGTTACTCTGTGTTCAGGAAAAAGCATTAGCATAGCTCTAATGCCAGACGTGTTAATGGATATGGTGTGAGAGAAGTTCAGATTCTTGTATGGAGAGAATGAAACTGGATGTTGTGTAAGATTTTATCAGCTGTTTTGTCTTCCCTGGAAATCAGGCCCTCACTAGTCCTCAAGTGACATGTCTATATAGCTTGATGGCCACCCAGTCCTCTCAACCTTTGGTTACATGCCTCTGCAGGTTACTCCACAGCACCCACAGTCCCTCTGTGACGGCTTCTGGATGTGGCAACCAAACAAGGTTTGACTCCCACTACACAGGGAATCAAGAACTGCCTCTGCTTGGAGCAAATCAAGACCTGCTCCTCCTGCTCGGGAAGGGCTGTTCTTCCAGGACTCTCTTTCCCGCCTTATAAGAACTGCTTTACTCTAGAGGAGATGAAACCAGAAGCAGAGAAATAAATTCGCATTACTTGAAACCACCTAACACCCTAAATCTGAGTCTTCTTGAACTCACTAAAGAGGTCTATCCAGTACTGTAACCATTAGCCACATAGAAACACCGTGTGCCTTAAGATAATATTTTGGAGGTACTCGGTTAAATAAAATACATAAGTTAAATAAGTTTTGGGTTTTTTTCTTCTTTTTACCGTGGATACTAAAACGCTCTAAACTGCATTTGATTTTTGCACTTTTTATTGGACGGCACAGAACCAGACTGTCAGTCCTCTGGCGTCTAGTCACAGCCTGAAGAGACAAGGAGACTTCAACAGGCTCAATCTCAGACTCTGTAGAGACCCAAACAATTCCACTATTTTTTTAACTTTTATTTAATGAATATAAATTTCCAAAGTACGATTTATGGATTACAATGGCTTCCCCCCCATACCGTCCCTCCCACCCACAACCCTCCCCTTTCCCACTCCCTCTCCCCTTCCATTCACATCAAGATTCATTTTCAATTCTCTTTATATACAGAAGATCAGCTTAGTATACATTAAGTAAGGATTTCAACAGTTTGCTCCCACACAGAAACATAAAGTGAAAAATTATAGATGATTTTTTTAAATGATGATGAAATCAGATCAGACCTATTGTCATGTTTAATCCCAGTGAGAGTCAAGTTGGGAGTTGATAATTTCTTTCTTTTTTTTTTTTTGTTTTTTACAGAGGATCAGTTTAGTATGCATTAAGTAAAGATTTCAACAGTTTGCACCCCCATAGAAACACAAAGTGAAATATATTGTTTGAGTACTCGTTATAGCATTAAATCTCAATGCACAGCACATTAAGGACAGAGATCCTACATGAGGAGTAAGTGCACAGTGACTCCTGTTGTTGACTTTACCAATTGACACTCCTGTCTATGGCATCAGTAATCTCCCTATGCTCCAGTCATGAGTTTCCAAGGCTATGGAAGCCCTCTGAGTTCTCCGATTCTTATCTTGTTTAGACAAGGTCATAGTCAAAGTGGAGGTTCTCTCCTCCCTTCAGAGAAAGGTACCTCCTTCTTTGAAGACCTGTTCTTTCCACTGGGATCTCACTCACAGAGATCTTTTGCCAGAGTGTCTTGGCTTTCCATGCCTGAAATACTCTCATGGGCTTTTCACTGGTGAGAGTCGACATCCCTGTCAGTGGAAATGCTTCCAACTTTTCCCCATTCAATAGGATGTTGGCTGTGGGTTTTTCATAGATTGCTTTGATTGTATTGAGGAATGTTCCTTCCAAACCCAGTTTGCTTAGAGTTTTCATCATGAAAGGGTGTTGTATTTTATCAAAAGCTTTCTCGGCATCTATTGAGATAATCATATGGTTTTTCTTCTGCAGTCTGTTAATGTGGTGTATCACATTGATTGTCTTGCGCACATTAAACCATCCCTGCATACCAGGGATAAATCCCACTTGGTCTGGGTGGATGATCTTTCTGATGCGTTGTTGCATTCTATTGGCGAGAATTTTATTGAGGATTTTTGCATCTATGTTCATCAGGGATATTTGTCTGTAATTCTCTTTCAGTGCTGCATCTTTTTCCGGCTAAGGAATTAAGGTGATGCTGGCTTCATAGAAAGAATTTGGGAGGATTCCCTCTTCTTCGATTGTTCTGAATAGTTTGAGAAGAATTGGAGTTAGTTCTTCTTTAAATGTCTGGTAGAATTCAGCAGTGAATCTATCTGGTCCTGGGCTTTTCTTTTTTGGGAGGGCCTTTATTACGGTTTCAATTTCTGTCTCAGTTATGGGTCTGTTTAGGTTTTCGATGTCTTCATGGTTCAATTTAGGTAGGTTGCATGTGTCCAGGAATGTATCCATTTCTGATAGGTTTCCCTGTTTGCTGGCATACAAGTCCTTGTAGTAATTTCTGATGATTCTTTTTCTTTCTGTGGTGTCTGTTGTTACGTTTCCTTTTTCATCTCTGATTTTATTGATTTGGGTCTTTTCTCTTCTTTTTTTATTTAGTTGGGCCAATGGGGTGTCAATTTTGTTTATTTTTTCAAAAAACCAGCTCTTCGCTTGGCTGATTTTTTGGAATGTTTTTCTTGATTCAATCCTGTTGATTTCTTCTCTGATTTTAATTATTTCTCTTCTCCTACTAGATTTGGGTCTGGTTTGCTGTAGGTTTTCTAGATCCTTGAGGTGAATTGAAAGCTCATCTATTTGGTGCCTTTCCAATTTCTTGATGTAGGCACCTATTGATATAAACTTTCCTCTTAACACTGCTTTTGCTGCGTCCCATAAGTTTTGGTATGTTGTGCTGTTATCCTCATTTACTTCCAGAAAGTTTTTGATTTCTCTTTTGATTTCTTCTATAACCCATTGTTCATTCAGGAGCATGTTGTTCAATCTCCATGTGTTTGCATACGCTCTAGGGATTCCTGAGTTGCTAATTTCCAACTTCATTCCTTTATGGTCTGAGAAGCTGCATGGTATGATTCTAATTCTTTTGAATTTGCTGAGACTTGCTTTATGGCCTAGTATGTGGTCAATCCTAGAGAAGGTTCCATGTACTGCTGAGAAGAATGTAAAATCTTTAGCTGTAGGATTGAAAGTTCTGTATATATATCTGATAGATCCATTTGGGCTATAGTGTCGTTTAAATCTACTGTATCCTTGTTGATCTTCTGTCCTATTGATCTGTCTATTTCTGAGAGTGGAGTATTGAAGTCCCCCAGTACTATTGCATTGGGGCTAAGTCTCCATTTAAGTCCCTTAACAAATCTTTTAGATAAACTGGTGCCCTGTAGTTAGGTGCATATACATTGATAATTGTTATATCTTCCTGTTGAATTGATCCCTTAATCATTATATAATGTCCCTCTTTGTCTCTCTTAACGGTTTTTGTGGTAAAGTTTATGTTGTCTGATATTAAGATGGCTACGCCCGCTCTTTTTTCATTTCTGTTGGCATGGTATATCTTTTTCCAGCCTTTCACTTTCAGTCTGTATGGATCTTTGTTGGAAAGATGTGTTTCTTCTAAGCAGCAAATAGATGGGTTTTGTTCCTTAACACAATCAGCCTATCAGTGTGTTTTAACTGGACAGTTCAGGCCATTCACGTTCAATTTGACTAATGATAAGTGGTAACTTTGCCCTGGCATTTGCCAAAGATAAGTTCTAATATATGCTTTGAATTCCCTGTGATCTTTTGCTGTGAGGTTTCCTTCCTTGGTTTCCTTCCTTTACCTTCTTTCATATTGATGACCGTGTTTCTTTGTTTCTGTGTGTAACACATCTTCAAACATCTTTTGCAGGGCTGGATGAGTGGCAACAAATTCTTTCAATTTCTGTTTGCTATGAAAAGTCTTTATTTCACCTTCATTCACAAATGATAGCTTTGCAGGATATAATATTCTGGGCTGGCAGTTTTTCTCTCTTAGTACCTGGGCTATATCTCGCCATTCCCTCCTAGCTTGTAGAGTTTCTGATGAGAAGTCAGCTGTGAGTCTGATTGGAGATCCTCTGAGAGTAATCTGACGTTTCTCTCTTGCACATTTTAGGATCTTTTCTTTATGTTTCACTGTGGAGAGTTTAATTACAACGTGTCATGGTGAGGATCTCTTTTGGTCATGTTTATTAGGGGTTCTGTGAGCTTCCTGTACTAGGATTTCTCTGTCCTTCTCCAAACCTGGGAAATTTTCTGCTAATATCTCACTAAAAAGGCCTTCTAATCCTTTCTCCCTCTCCATGCCTTCAGGAACTCCTAGAACCCGAATGTTTGGTTTTTTAATGGTATCCTGAAGATTCCCGACAATATGTTTTAGATTTCTAATTTCCTCTTCTTTTCTTTGGTCTGACTGTATCCTTTCCTGTTCTCTGTCTTCTAAGTCTGATATTCTCTCTTCTGCTTCACCCATTATGTTTGTAAGGCTCTGTATTGTGTTTTTCATTTGATCTATTGAATTCTTCACTTCAGTCACTATCCCAGTTTCCTGTTGTACTAGTTGTTTCGTTTCATTTTGATTCCTCCTTAATATTTCATTTTCATGAGAGAGATTTTCTATCTTGTCCATTAAGGATTTCTGTAGTTCAAGAATTTGTTTTTGAGAACTTCTTAATGTTCTTATCAATTTTTTGAGATCTGCTTCTTGTATTTCTTCTATGTCATCATCTTCATAACCTTGAATTGCGGTGTCTTTTTCATTTGAGGGCGTCATGGTGACTTCCTTGTTTTTATTACCTCGGTTTTTGCGTTTGTTATTTGGCATATTGGAGATATTTGGTTTCTTCACTGTGGTGCTTTTTCTTGTTATACTATGACTCTAGATTAAGTGGACTATCTGTTTTTGATGGAGCCTTAGGGCTTGAGATGGGTGTGGCCTGAGAGCTCTGTTTGGTGTGCCAAAGTTGACACTCCCAGGTTAGGCGTGGTAAACCTCTCTCTCTCTCTCTCTCTTTTTTTTTTTTGATTCAAAAGGGAAGTAATTCTGCACAGCTGAATGAAGTTGGAGGTAGTTAGCAGGCAAATGATATACCCCCAGGAGCCAGAGATCAGAAGCTCTTTCCCAAGGACCACACAGGGAATCTGTTCAGCCCTCAGAGTGGGCTCAAATTCTCCTTCAGTCTCCCACTGGGTTGCCAAAGTTATGGAATTGTAGCGTCTCTGGAGAGTGCTCACGTGAATTCCGTGAGTTCTCTCCCCCACCGTCTCTTTTTTCACA